TATATATGACAGGCAGAAATGGGGGAAAGGAAATAAATAGAATCGACAGAGATAAATAGTAGACAAAGATATATAGTTAGATGGATAGACAGAAATATCAGACTTAAGCACATAAATAGATAGATAGCAACGGATTATACAAATTACGATATTAATATTATAAATAAAATTGAAACTAGACTGACCGTAAAAGTAGTTGGGCATTTGTCTAAAACACTTCAATGCGTTTTGTTTTTTTCACTCCTTGTATTAAAAGATCCGATGTTTTAAAATCCATCCGCACATTTCTATGCTGAAATTGTTTTGATTTCATCGTTAAAATTTCTGACTCACAGAAAATGAATATTTCCCTTTTCTTTTCAACAACCGGGGATTTTTTCTCGAATATTGTTCCAGCGTGAAGTGTCACCTGGGTGGTGTGTAGAAGATGTGATAGTGATTCAGTCTAGTGTCACAAAAGAAAATAAAATTACAGGGGCGGGATATAATTTACACCAACTCTAATGCACAGGGAAGGATATGTTCCGCCATTTTGTTTTTACCTTTTTTATTATTTGTTTTCCCTGTCGCTTACTTTCAGATTTGATCTCCTTTCTTTTATTCTTCTTTTGGTTTTCTTCTCTTTTTTATTTCTCTTTATTTTTCCTTCTTTTATGTGGTCGCAACTTCTTTTAGTTCATTCATTTTCTTTCATTTTCGTTTTTTTTTCATTTTGCCGCTTTCATTTTTTTTATACTAAGTTGTTTTCTTTTTCTTTTATATGGATTCACTTTTCCTTTTTCTTATTCCTTTTCTAAGTTTTTTTTTTCATATTCTTTGTTTTCTTTCTCTTTCTTCTTCTTCTTATTGTTGTTATTGTTGTTTTATTTTCTTTGATTTCTGGAATATACTAATTTCTTTCATAATTTTAAAATATATGTGACTTTTTATTTTCAAAACTGCTCAGTGTAAAATATCATGATGCCATTTCTGACCTTAAGTCTCTGGTTGGGACCCGGAAAGAAATGAGTATAGACCAGAAATCAAAGGAAATAAAGGCTTGGGTTAACATGTGGTATAGTTTTTCAGGCATTTTCCAAAGGTGCCACACTCGAACCCTCCAGTCTGATAACATCAGGAACTCTACTTCCTGATAAATCAATCGTGGGGAGATTCGAACCCGGGTCCCATGGTCAGAAGGCAAACGTTCTAACCACTCAGCCACGTGGTGAGGGTAAAACAGGCATACATCGCATACACGTAAGATAATCAGCACTAAGATCGAATAACTTGCTATCAGCATTGAACACAACTTAATTTTTTCAATGACTTTTTATACGAGGTTTCATGAATGCCTGCCCGCGTTTCATAAGCAAAGAAGAGTTGAGTAAGCATAAGTGACATTAGTATTTTCTCTAACGTTGTGAAAAACAAGGAACTAGTAACTTTTTATGAGTTTAATATAAATACTTATAAATGTATCTAGGAAATCAATAACGTTGTGTTCGTTGTGTATATAAATTCTATTGTCAAGCTAGTTTGCAACATTTCTAAAGGAATTAAAAAGAAAATCAAAAGCAATGAGTTGTTGTATTTGATTCTTAGGCGTTTGATTTCCTAAATCTCTTAAAAAATATGGCAGGAAAAAAGAAATGACGTTTGCAGGTTGTATTTCACTCAGTTGTCAAGAAAGAGACATCGGGAAAGTTTCGTTAAATATAGATATCAACAAAGCGGACTAGATAGATAGATAGATAGATAGATAGATAGATAGATAGATAGATAGATAGATAGATAGATGATGTGAACAGAATGGGATAGATAGATAGATAGATAGATAGATAGATGAATAGATAGATAGATAGATAGATGCGAACAGACTGAGATAGATAGAGATAGATAGATAGATAGATAGATAGATAGATAGATAGATGAATGATGAACAAACTGAGATAGATAGATGAATAGATAGATGATGTGAACAGACTGAGATAGATAGATAGATAGATAGATAGATAGATAGATAGATAGATAGATGAATAGATGAGATAGATAGATAGATGTGAACAGACTGAGATAGATAGATAGATAGATAGATAGATAGATAGATAGATAGATAGATAGATAGATGCGAACAGACTGAGATAGATAGATAGATAGATAGATAGATAGATGAATAGATAGATAGATAGATAGATAGATGTGAACAAACTGAGATAGATAGATAGATAGATAGATAGATAGATGAATAGATAGACAGATAGATAGATAGATGTGAACAAACTGAGATAGATAGATAGATAGATAGATAGATAGATAGATAGATAGATAGATGAACAGAATGGGATAGATAGATAGATAGATAGATAGATAGATAGATAGATAGATAGATGCGAACAGACTGAGATAGATAGAGAGATAGATAGATAGATAGATAGATAGATAGATAGATAGATAGATGTGAACAAACTGAGATAGATAGATAGATAGATAGATAGATGTGAACAGACTGAGATAGATAGATAGATAGATAGATAGATAGATAGATAGATAGATAGATAGATAGATGCGAACAGACTGAGATAGATAGATAGATGGGAACAGACTGGGATAGATAGATAGATAGATAGATAGATAGATAGATAGATAGATAGATAGATAGATAGATAGATGTGAACAGACTGAGATAGATAGATAGATAGATAGATAGATAGATAGATAGATAGATAGATAGATGCGAACAGACTGAGATAGATAGATAGATAGATAGATAGATAGATAGATAGATAGATAGATGTGAACAAACTGAGATAGATAGATAGATAGATAGATAGATAGATAGATAGATAGATAGATAGATAGATAGATAGATGTGAACAAACTGAGATAGATAGATAGATAGATAGATAGATAGATAGATAGATAGATAGATAGATAGATACCGAGGAAAAAAAAAAAGAAAGAATGATGAAGATCAAGAAGCGATAAAAGCCCTGGAAACAGAAAAGTTAGATGGATTTTTATTCATTTGTTTGTTTAACGGCATATCAACTCCTTATGGGTCATTTAATGCCGTAATTTAATTTTCTTGGCTTCTTTGAAGTAATGCAAATTTGAAATGATATTCTGCTTTCGCCATTAAATCCATGACAGATGACACTCAGCTTTTGTGTATATACAGATTTGTGGACTTAATTACTCGTTCCAGTGATATGTATGTTTCATTTTTATTTCTTTAAGAAATTGTAGGATATTATATCGATTAATGAGTTATTTTTCATGTTGGTTGCTTCATTGCTTTCGTTTAGTAACATATCAACGTCTATGGATTATTTAATGCTGGAATCTAAATATTTTGAATGAGATTTCATGATTCAACTACAGATAAGGTGTATTGCTATTAATTCTACAATAAAATGTCTTGCTAGTCATTTTACTATAAATATATATTGTTGGCATATATTTTCCATATAATAATGTATTGCTTGTATTTTTACTATAAATATGTATTGTTATGCTTTTATAATGAATTTCTTTAGGTGGAGGGTTACTATTTGTCCATAGCTGGGACAACAATTGCTACTATCTCGGTTGAGGCTAAACCTAGAAGCAAAAGCAATTAGAAATGGTTCAACGCTTTTAAAACCTTAAATCTCCTGATCAAAGACCTTGCTGCCGGTTGTAGTTCATCGTCAATTTGGATGGAAGTGACAAAGAAAATTATTACAGAAATGTAAGAACATTTAAAAAAAAAAAAAACGAGTTAGCTGGAAAGAAATTTGAAATTGTTACATCTCCGCCTCAAATACAAATAATGTTTGCAAATGGCAAAAAAAAAAAAAATATCAACAAAAAGAGAAAAACAAATATCAAAATAAAAAATCTAATCTAACGGAAAGAGAGTAAAAAAAAAGTAAAAGTGAATTAAACTTCAATTTACAAGTTGAATATAGAACTGTCCGAATTATCTATCTATCTATCTATCTATCTATCTATCTATCTATCTATCTATCTATCTATCTATCTATCTATCTATCTCAGTCTGTTTCTTTCTTTCTTTTTCTTTCTTTCTTTCTTTCTTTCTTTCTTTCATCCATCACACTGAAGCTATTTTTTTTAACTAACAATGATTAAAAAAAATCTTGACTGTTGTCGATATACATTGAAAAACTTAAATAAGGTGGTCCACCACAATTTAATTTTCATGCATCTTTTATGAGAAAACAACTTTCAAAAACAAGCATGTAAAATCCAGAAAATATTTCTTCATGGCTAAAGTCTTCATAATTTAAGTCTCAACTGAAAACCTGTTTAAATCTATTTTCATGCATATATATATTGTGTATATTTAGGCAGCATACTCCGTGATCACAGAAAGTTTAAAAAACTCAACAAGAACCCGACCAACCAACTAAAATCAAAGTTTAATAAACTCATTAATGCTAATAATGCTGAACAAAACTCTTTAAAATTTCCTATAATCGTTGGTGATTATAGACCTGGTTACATATACGGCACTATAAAAACACATAAACCTAACTATCCTCTCCGTCCTATCATATTGCAAATTCCAACTCCTGTATATCAGCTAACAAAATACATTAACCAACTTATTACTCCCTATCTTTCTAGTAAATATAGTGTTAAGTCAACATTAGAAGTAATCCAAATCCGAAAAAGTGAAAAACCCAACAATGAAATCATGGCTTCACTTGATGTTGAAAACTTATTTACCAATGTCCCTGTTAGTGAAACTATTGACATAATCATAAGAAATATATACAGTAACTCATCTTTACCCCCACTTAAAATTAATCCTAATATATTACAGAAACTACTATTAGCTTGTACTACTGAAGTCCCTTTCTTAGATCATAGTAATTATATATATATATATATATATATATATATATACAACGTGGTGGCATTTCCATGGGTTCAGTACTGAGTCAAATTTAGCAATTTCTACATGTGGAACCTCGAAATAAAAATATTTGCAGATTAAAAAAACCATCAATCTACCTAAGATACGTTGATGATATTCTTATGTTAGTTAAAAATACAGATGAAATACTTCAACTTCAAAAACGTTTCCAAAATAATTCTGTCCTTAAATTCACGTATGAACTCAATACTAATAATAAAAATTCCTTTCCTTGACATGTTGATAAACACAAATAATAACAAATTTACTATTTCGCCATACAAAAACCTACCAGCATAAATTCATGTACACTTAACTTACAAGAGCGAATGTCCATATTACTACAAAATAGCAATTATAAAAAAAACTAATACATCGTGCAGAAACTAATTCATCTACAAAACAGATTTTTTACAGTGAACTCAAGAATATAAAGCAGACACTTATTAATAATAGCTTTCCAAACTATATAGTTGATGAACAAATAAGATGCTTTCTTAGAAGTCTCAATACTAAGCAAATAGAATATAATACTGCTTCAACTAATTCCAAACATTAATCTCTTATATCGTAGCCAAATAAATACTAATTATAAACAAGATGAAAATATACTAAAAAATTAGTAAATACTAATATATCTACAACAGATCATAGCAAAAAATTAGGTTAATCATATACTACACTAAATCTAGTCTATCCAACTTAATAATTCGCAATGATTCTTCACCAATCCCCGTTAGCGATTTGCAAAAAAGCAACATAGTTTACAAATTCAAGTGCCCTTTGAGAGATTTTTTCTCCAATGGATTAAATAATATTTATGTTGGTCACACCACAAACTCGCTTTCACGACGCTTGAGTCTACATTTGAATGATAACATTTTTAGGCATTTAAAACAACATGCATGGCTGCGTACATAATTCCGGAAAATCATAGTGGAAAACACAGCTATACTTAAATATGAAAACAATAAACAAAAACAAAAAAATCTTGAAGCTATATACATAAAACGATTGAAACATAACCCGAACAAAATAAACTACGAAATCTGCACAGATATTCTTAAATGCCTATAATTAATAACAGAAGCCACTGGTTTATACAAACGGGTTCCCATACTTAATACTTCTCGTTTTCACTCTCGCGTGGTTATGTGTGACGTCACGAGCTGCGATGCTATTTTCGCTTCCGCGTCTTGTATACATTGCTTTAAAGTTTTTCATGTAACAAAAACAGACTGTCATTATTGTTTCGTCCGTGTATTGTCTGATAAATTGAAAAGTAATTGTCAGGCGAAAGCTTAGATTGGATTTAAACATGTATCAATATGGTGATTTCCTTTCGTCTTTCAATGATAATGTTATTAAGCTTATCAGACAATATGAAAGAAATTTACTTTAAATAAATAGACAAAACTTATCTATATTATTTAATGTTACATACATCAATATATATATATATGTATATATATATATATATATATATATATATATATATATATATATATATATATATATCATTGATATATATATATATATATATATATATATATATATATATATATATATATATATATATCATATATATATATATATATATATATATATATATATATATATATATATATATATATATATATTACAATACCTATATTACAATATATTACAATGAATCATTCATACAAAATTAAATTAGTAAAGTTACAGATATAAAATGTCGAAACCTTTTTCGTTAACAAAATTTTACAAATGCATTAACCTACCAATCACTCGATGAATGTTATGATCCTTGTTTTTTTAAAATTATAAGTTCTATAAGGTCTTTCTTAATTACTATACATTCAGTCATCTTCAGGCATGGAAAACACACACACACACACACACACACACACACACACACACACACATATATATATATATATATATATGTATGTATGTATGTTTCATTAAATATGGCGGACAATAATTTTTCTTGGATCCTTACGAGTTATTTCTGGACTGAGTGCGCGGGAAAATTATTCGGTGTGTTGTTTTTTTTCTAACACTCAAAACTTGTACGGACATAAAAAAATTAAAAAAAAAATCTTACATGATATTCCAAGGCCTTCATATTTAACAAACTATGCATAAAAGAAGGGTTGCTTCCTACATATATAGCCGTAAAGTCATTCAGAAATAAATATCGCCTATTTTATATTGTTGGTCCTCGGCCTAAGATGTGGATGTCGGTGGTTTGGTGAATAGCAATTGTGCGTTCGCCATTCTGACAAAATGATATCAGACATGAAAACGAGTGTTTAAGAAGCCGAGATGTTTTATTGACGTCCTGTATATCGATGAACCGCACCCACTTGTATTCAGTCGTACTTGCTACTCGTTTACGGTGACCGACCTGTTGATGATTAATGTCTTTTAACTCCAGCAAAAGGATGTGTGTACGAAATACCATTGCACTGATCAGCCTCGCATAGCTGTCAGGCTACGAAATGAAGAACACCATTGCTAATGGGACGGATAGTTTGTAGCTGGAACATTTGCAGTATTTCAATATATCATTAGTAGTTTCTATCAAAAGACATAGGCGGCATTATTTTCAGATAAACAATCGGACGGGAACACACACACAAACGCTGACACATATATGCAAAACACACACACATCATCATCTTGCGGCCTCAGCTTGAACTCACCAATACTTTGATTGGTGTAGTTCAAAATCTTGTCAAATAGCTGAATAATTGATGCTTCGCTAGGGCTATCAAGGGTGTATCTATCGTGACACCATCACTAAATGGATTGCCAACCAAGGCTCAGAGGGACTCCATTCACCCTCATCTAAGAGCAGGTTTGAATTCAGAGTTTTCCTTCTCCTAGACCAGTTGCCATCCAAGGCTATAGAACCCAGTCTCTCTTGCTATTTAGCCATAGCTGGAGGGAGAAGAGGATTCACACCTTTCCCAAGGATGTTATCACTAAGTGAATGTAATGGATTCAACTGGGAACTCAGCTATTCTCAATCCAAGCCGCTATCCATTACTCCACCTTGCCCCCCCCATACATAATTATATATATATATATATATATATATATATATATATATATATATATATATATATATATATATATATATATATATATATATATATATATATATATATATATATATATATATATATATATATATATATATATATATATATGATGGACTTGCGACAATTAATTTTAATATATACTTTTGTTTATAATAAACAGCCTTAACGACATTTATCCTGAATATCAGGAGAAATACTCTTTATCATAAACAAAGTATTTACTTAAATATTTGTATCTATAAAAATAACGTATAAACAGAAAATCTATTAAAATAATTGTCGGACTTACTCCATTTCATAATATATGATGTCATTTGTTTACGTTAAGATACGTTTCGAGCAGATATGACCGTTCGAGAGAAATCATGGGACGCTTGTAGTTCAAAAACCTAATCAGACACTTCCTCGGTAGGTAAATGGCATAGCACGTCAGACTATATGGCGGTTCCGTGTAAGATATAGGTTCGATTCGTGTCAGGGAACACATATTTCTTTCAGATTTCTCGTACATTCAGATTGGTAAATGTTTTTAATACTGCTTATGATAAACAAAGCATTTAATATACTCAATACATACATATATATATATATATATATATATATATATATATATATGCGTTGGTATATAATCCGAGTGGATCCTAATAATATCAATTATTAAAACTGATCCACAGAGAGCTTAATTTTGTATTTTAACAGAGCATATGTATTTTTACAGCAAACAAAAAACAAAAACATTGATATAGTCTATTTCAAGCCGTTCCGTGTAATATAACCGTTTTGTGTTAAATAAACTTCAACCCAAGACCTCTTCACCTGAAATAAGATATCTTACGCCCCCACCAATCGCAAACACAAACTCATTCTCATTAACAAGGCGTCTACCAGAGGAGGACTGACATTGAAAATGAATTTAAAACAATGCTCCGAGACAGACACTTAAGGACTGATGATAGCCGCTCACACAACGGCTTGAAATGGACTATCCTCTATGTTGATGTATTTTTTTTCTGTAATCCTATCTATCTATATATATCTATATATATATATATATATATATATATATATATATATATATAATCAATTCAAAATTCAATTTTGTTCACTCGATGTTAAAACCTTAGAAAAGGCACTTCCTTTCTGCCAGATGGATTAAATGACTGTGGAGACATGAGTGTTGTGCCTTGGATGGCAGCCAGACTAGGAGAAAGAAATATTCGACATCAAAACTTGATGAGAGCATTTAAATTTACAAATAGTATCTCTGACCCCCACCTTTTTATATGAAATAATGGTGAATACATGGATATTTATAACTAATATCTTCTGTATTGTCTTTGAAACAAACAATCTTTGAATTTCGTAAAAAAGATAAAATCAATTTAGAAAGTAAAAACGAAAGAAAGAGATGCAGAGGTTCGTTTGTCAAGAGTTGTTCCTTTTGATTCTGGAATAAATACATCATTCTTGGAATGAGTTAGGAAAAATCCAGAGTCATTTTCGTGTGACTTTTGTTTTCGTGACATTTCTTTAGAAATGTTCATGTTCCTTTATTTATCGCAACATTTGAAATCTTTTCATCTTTTGAAATTTTTGTTCCTTTTGACTTTTCTTTCTTTCTTTCTTTCTTTCTTTCTTTCTTCCTTCCTTCCTTTCTTTCTTTCTTTCTTTCTTCAACTCTTTTTCTTTCCTTCTACATTCCCCTTTTCTTTGCGTTTCTGTATATTCATTACTTTTTTCTTCCCACTTTTATTTCCTCTTTCTTTTATTTCTCTCTCTTTTTAAGTCGTGGTTGGTGCATAATTATCAGGTGTTTTTTAGCAATATTTATTACGAACAAAAAAACATAACAATTCAACAATAGCATTTTTATATGATTATTCCGGAGCGTATGATTATTGACATGCATTTTTATAACTTGAAAATAAAATAATATTTTTATTAAAAAAACCCCAAAAACAGCAATTTTTATTAACAAATAACGCCTACAAAACGCCTGATAATTATGCACCAAACCAATATTTTCTTAATTCAAGTTTTCCTTTTCCATTCCTGCTTTTCATCTTTCTTTTTTTCTTTCTTTCTTTCTTTCTTAATTCGTGTTCCACTTTCTTCAACTTTATTTTACCTCTGTATTTTTTCTATCGTTCTTTATTCTTGACGTCTCTCTGTTTATCTTTGTTTTTGTTTTCAGCTTCATTTCATCTCTCGCCCTCCCCCCACTACGATCTTCATTTATTTTTTGTGTGTATTTCAGTACATTCGGTTTTCCCTTTTCGCTTCTTTCTTTCTTTCTTTCTTTCTTACTTTGCCTTTTTTCTTTCCACTCCTGCAGAGTGGACAGCCAGATAATTCGGCCATTGCAAGCAAAAGTCTTGCGTGTAAACGTCATCATTATTTCTGTCTTTTCTTTTTATGCGTGTCGTTCGTAAAGCCGCCAGCCAAAACATGGCCAGCCGAAAACATTAAATGCGGAAGTTTTGATTTTGGCGAGTTATCATTGGCCTTAAGGAGATCCTAGAAGGGTTTTAGAAATAAAAACACATACCCAAAAGGCCACACACACACACACACACACACACACACACACACACACACACACACACACACACACACACACACACGCACAAACACGCACATACAAATAACATATTATAGAATATATATATATATATATATATTCAAAAAAGACCCTCACGCTAAATGAATATTTGTAAGTGACTTATGTGTTTCTTCATGCATATATATATATATATATATATATATATATATATATATATATATGCATATCATCTATCTATCTATCTATCTATCTATCTATCTATCTATCTCTCTCTCTCTCTATATATATATATATATATATATATATATATATATATATATATTGGTCACTATGATGAAAGGGAATATTTAAAAAAAGCAGTTGCTGCTCCCGCTTATAACGCATCGCTCTTCAGTTACGAATTGAGCACTCTGGCTGCTGATTTGGTGTTTGTATACATCACATATATAATACGTTAAAAGATTCCCTTTCTCTACTGTGCGCCGATACTTTAGGGGTAGAGTATCTGACAGACGCCAAATCGGTCGAGTTTCGATCCCGGCTTGAAGTAATCGGATGTATAGCAACACTGATAAGCTTTGATAAAGAGAAACAGGCTTGCATGTGGATGTATGCGTGTGTGTGTGTTTGTAATAATGTGCCTAGTTAGTAATTTCAATCTCAGCTACACGGAAAGCATCCACCTATTTAATACTGACGCAAATGTGGGTAATCTAGGATGAACGCGCCTTATGGAAAGCTCAGAAAATTATTGCACCAGCATCGATCTCTTTAATCACGTCGATAACCTGAAATCTTCTTTACAATGCCGATCTTAAATTTCAGAAAGACTAAATGCTGCAAAGATCCATATTTGCACAGGGCTGCAGAAAATCTGTAATGCTAAAGAGTCTAGCATCCCTGGGTGATTCTATGTTTTTCCCAAATTCATTGGACCAGATGTGAACATAGGGCAGCTATGATGAAAGAGACACTGCTGAATCTCAGTCAGTGTCCTTTTACGGAAGAATGTTTGCACACACATGTACATGAGGTTAGCGTGTAAATATTATCCATAAAGGACGCACAACCGGTTCTCAAGATATCTAAAATGAATTTGTACTTCCCTAACACTCTATATAAAAGCCCTATCTCTTATATTGATCACTCTTCCCATTTTAATATCATCATCATCATCACCCCCTTGACTTTTGTAATTGTAGAGGAGGTTCGAATCCACAACGTTCTATCAACGGCTGCCATCAGCCATTCTGGTATAGTCATTCCTATCCATTGTTTGACAATGTCCAACCAGTTTTTTACGTTTTGCGTCCTCTCCTACGTCCACCTTCAACGGTGTCTTACATGACGGTCTTGTCCAGACTGTCGTACCTTGTAACATATCCAAACTACGCCATTTTTCTTTTTTTGACAGTGACGAAAGGAGGCTCCTGGCGGCCCACATTTTCAACCCTTTTGCACAAAAACTCATTGGTTTTGTTTCCAATAGAAAATGCCAAGTAGTTTTCTCATGCATTTGTTCTCAAACGCTTGGATCCTTTTCCCTGTATCTGCTAACAGTGTCCAAGATTCACATCCATAGAGGAGAATAGAGACTATAGATTTGTACACTCTGTACTTTGTTTGAAAGCTGATTTTGCTCCTGCATATTCTTGCCCATTTGGCCAGTGCCGTGGCAATCCATTTGGAGATTTCAGAGTTGCAGGTACCATCTTTAGACAAGATTGCTCATAAGTATTTAAAACTGGACACTTCCTCCAGTGAATTCCCATTTATGGTAATGTTGTCATGTGTTACTGTTTGTGTTATTCAACATCACTTTTTGATTTCTAAGATCTGACCTCCATTCCATATGCTCTTGCTTTTTCAAAAAGTCCTGCAGCTCACTGTTATTACCTTCTATGAGGTCAATGTTGTCTGCAAAACTTTGGTTACAGACGGGTCTACCACCGATAGAGATTGAAGAATTATGGTCGTTCAGGGATTCTTGCATGATTCTCTTTAGAAATAGGTTGAACAATGTGGGTGAAAGTATGCATCCCTGTCGCATGTCGACCGTTGTCCAGAAGAATCCTCCCATTTGTTTTCCCTGAAGAACTACGCTGGCGCCATCTTTAATTAGGGCCTTGATGACTTGGATAATTCTGTTATCTACAGTGAATTCCTTAAGGATTTGCCGAAGACCGTCATGCCATACACGATGAAACACTTTCTTTGTCTATTTCATAATATTGCAGATTTTAATATATTATATATATATACATATGCATTCTCTCTCTTTCTCTGCACACACACACACACACCCACACACACAGATATATATATATATATATATATATATATATATATATGACCTTGTATATTCTTCGTCTTCGAAATTCATATATATTTTGAGATTACCATATGGTTTAATTCTGACATTTGAACTATTATTAAATGTAATCTCGCTCGCAGTTTGAGATTATAACATGTTTAATCCTTTCACTCACATGCAAGGTGATAAAGCTACTTAGACGCAAGGGGGTCACAGAGTGTTAATCGGAGAAGGGCACCATTGAGGAGAGATGACAATAAAAGAATAGGTTGCAAAGAGACAGAAAAAGAAAGATTGACGTTTGCATTTCAATTTCTGATGATCGCAGTTGACAGAAAAGCAAGAAGTCGGAAGAGCGTTCCTCAAGCGCAAAGTGCGAGAAAATGAACTGTCAGCATGGGACTTCTAACAATTTCAGCAGTAAAATTATGAGACCTATCTGCTAATCATGTCGAGATACCAACGAGAAAGCACATCAGAATAATTGATATGAAATTATTTATAAAAAAGACACAGATAGGCTATGTCACGATGGCGAATTTAATGAAGGAACCTTGTTGTCCACTTTCAAAAACTTTTTACTCCTCTTTCTCATCACCATAATTGATACCAAGGTTTTGAATTGATTGTGTCATTCGGCATCTCTAATAAACCTGATATGGAAACAAAGTTCCCACCGAGACCCCAGAAACATGGATAAGAAAGAAATTTCGTAGACATAGACGTTCCTACTTTTATTATCTTTTGTGCATTCCTGTCAGCCACTAAGTTCATGGGAGAAGCAGACAGTCCCCGCTCCCAAACGCCAAGCGAAAACATTGATCTGCGTTCATAATCAGTGAATTACAAGGATATTGTGATCACTAAGCGAATTTCAGACATAGAAATGTTTGCCCAAGAAACTACCTGCATATATTTACCATCCACCATTGCATAATGTCGGAGATACAGCTCAAACACCAGACAATTTTGCGTGTTGCCGGAAGCCAATTGTTAACGAACCAGTCTCGTATATTATTAATACTGCATCATTTAAAATAAGGGAAATAAGTAATCACCGAGTGACCTCCCTTTGCTGCCTTATCATAGACTCAGCTTGGCTTAACAAATAAAGAAGTAACGCTTGAAAGGAATCTTCCTAGAAAGTCCGTAACACCAATTTTGACACAAGCGGACATAGCACAATATATATTGCGGAATCACAATCTCTATAATTACTTATTAATTAATTACTTATTATTAATTATAAACGCCATATTATTTGCACTATGCATCATTGTTTTGTTTTAATGATAAATGACTGACTCGATTGCCAGATACATTTCCTGCTTATTTCCATCGTTGATTAGGGTAATAATTGACTTTTATCTCGATCGATTATCGTTAAGCATCGATTACGTTGTGTATCTGGGTTAAAAGAATTAGGAACGAAGGCGATACTGAGCAATTCCCCTTCACTATAAAACAGGTATCAATATTGCTCTTTCAAAAACAGTCGATTGAGTTTTTGTTTAGAGACAGGTATCATATGCCCAAATTGAAAAAGAAATAAAAATAAACAACTTTACCAGCGATTCCAAATCCAACCACCGAATCCTTTGAAAACAATTTTATCAAATGGTTCAAAGTCTCTCGTCGATCTTCTTTTCTTCTCAGCTTGTCTGTCTGCTTTTAGCCACCATAGAATGATACTCTGAGATTTAAGGCGCACACAGTTTAGAAATAATAATCCACAATACACCCTTTTGCAAATTAATTTAAACAATCGTTTTAGTTTCTTTTCTTTCACCATAAGGTCAGTTTTAGACCCACTGGAATGACAGGGTTTAAACGATTTCTATTTTTTCCTCAGATCAGGTTATTTGCAGTGGTGGGAGTAATATGAATCTATTTTCGAGGTGTATGATGAAATTTGTTTGATCTTGATAAATATTGCGTCATCCATTATTGCAACAGATTTTCATCAGACCAGACACTATTTTCTCGATTGTCGATTAGTTGTCCTACAGCGATTGTCTGCGATAGACGTTACTCAAAGGAGCATACGAAAATTGTAACGCTGCACGAACACACTGAAAAACCGTACCAGTGAGCAAATCAAAGTAGTATAAACTGGCGCGGAAACTCTCGTGATTTAAATCCAATCGAGAATCTGTGGTCAATCTGCAAGGAAAGACTTTGTGGAATGGACATACGAAGTTCTAACATGTGCACTGGGTCATGTTTCATTGGGAAAAAAGTAAATGATAACGGAATTTTTTTTTCAATTAATTTGCACAAGGGAGTATATGCAAATATTTTGTAACATCCCAGGATATTCCTACACGCCTTTTACTTCCGGCCACCTTTCTGATCTCCAGCCCCAAATATCCTTGTACCATTTTTGGCATAGATCCTGCCACTCGCTTTTTATATAATTCAGTCCAGATTCATTTCGATTTGTAATTTAGACGAGCCAGGAGTTTTCTCGAAAAACACGCAGAACAATGTGATGCTCATTTGCATGTAACAAATTCTGTCATAATGTTTTCAAATAAACAATCAAAACTTTTTTTTTCAAAGAGATTTAAACCCTATTCGGAGCACTAGAATTTAAAATCAGTAGCCAACAACAATGTCTTTTATTCTGTGAATCCATGAATAGCTTTTCTGTGGATCCATAAAGACATCCAAGCCTTTTGTTTTCAAATTCATTTCTGCTTTTGTTGTTTATTCGTCCTTTATTGTACTCAGCTCATTTAGCAAAACAGACGCACAGCAGCGTTTCTCGTTGTTGAAATTGCATTCCGCCATTTTCCCTTTTGTTTCGTCACATTTATTTGAATTTATTTTGCTGTTTGTATCATTATTGACTTTTTTTTTTTTTAAAGATTTCTTTTGTTTTGGAAAAAAAATCTCTTTGTCTTGTCATTTCTGTTAAGAACAATGAAGTACAGAGAGCAAGTTCGGTCATATCATGAATATTCGGACTATTCAAACCGTTGTATAGCATTTGTTCGAACGTAAAAGGTTTACGTTCTACAGCCCTCTTCTGGTGGACAGGTCGTATAGAAAGAGATTTCATTTTTCATTTGTCATCAGAGAATGTACGGATTGCACAACTAAGGAAGGAAATAAAATGGATCGACCGAAACATTTTCGTAACAGCAAATTAAAAAATGTGATCAGCAGTTTAAAATAAATTTTCAAATGAAAATGACTCAGCAAAAATTGGAGATGTTCGATCGTGTTTTTGTTTTATGAAAAAAAAAAAGTATAAAAAATGGCGGACTACCTGTCTCAGTCGGATGCTATGTTTTTTGTAGGAAGATCTGTATGAAGAATTCTAAGTCGGCTTTGAGTCAGGGAAGTAAGAAAAAGAAAAAAAGAGAAAGGCCATCAGGACTATTTCAGAAGTTGCAGAAAAAAATCTCAAAATGGCTATGGATTAAAAAATCAGATCCATGGAGCTCGACGATGGAGATCGGCTGGCGTTGACGTGCCGTCGGAAGGGATGAAGAAAAAGAGGTGGAAAAGAAAAGAAAGAAAAGAAAGGGGGAGATAAAGAGGGAGGAAAAATAGAAGAAAAAAGGAGGAAAGAGAAAAACAGGCGGGGAAAAAAAAGAAAAGAAACTTTTCTAATCATAATTCCTCTGACCAACGAATTTTTTATTGAAGTATCGTTTCATAGGTGATAAAAACTTTCCTTTCATTCTTTAGTTTTGTTTTCGGGTTCTACCCCCCCCCATCACTAATCATTCCATGTTTCATGAAAGTTTATATATTTTGTAATAAAACAAGAAAAGTGCAAAAAAAAAAGAGACTTTATGAACGTTATAAATTTTTACATCATGAAGTGTTTTGTAGGTCCCTTGTGAATATGTGGTATTGTGGTACATGTAAGATTGGGAGGTGATGAACAAGTGCTTGTGGTGATTGAGCATATTGTATTGAATGAATGGATCGTGATTGTGGTTAACCAAGAATAGGATAGTGAAAGACGAGCCTTTCCCCACTTTTCCTTCGGCCTTGTGCCACAATTTTGAAATTTTTCGATATGTCTCGAAAAGGGAGATATTTGTTCGAAGTAGCAAAGTGGTTTTGGACTACTGTCACCGAGTAGGACAATCTAACAGGTAACCGTAATGGACTGGTCCTCGTCATAGTGGTAGGCAATAGGCGTAGTCCCTGTACCTCCACATCAGTCTGTATTTATGGCTGACACCAGCCAATCATATTACTGCGAGGGAGAACCCAGGTGTATGCATATTCATTACATCATTTTTACAAAATAAATATCCATTAGTGAGGGGATTTACCTGTTTTAAGTGGAAATCTTCATTTCCAATACTCATGTACCGTGTCCCGGTTTTAACTTGACAGATTTCTTAAAATATTAAGAAAGCGGAAATGTACTCACCTGAAAGTAGAGAAAAAAAAGAAACATTCAGAAGATTAATTAAAATGTAAATTATAAAAAGTTGAATTTTGAAGAGAAATAAAAAAAATGTACATAATAATTACAGATTCATAATAATTCAATATTTTCTTTTTTAATTTTATAAACCAACGTAGGGGTTATTACCTTCTTCACCAATATTCAATATTACAAGATATCCATATAAAATATGTGTCAGTTAATTAGGAAAAACTATACAGTGCCTTCAGCATAATATTCACTTCTGCTAATTTGTGTAGAACGATATTGTCGTATTCTACACTGAATAGCGAAAATGTGTTCAGTACTATATAGCAAGCAGGATATTACTACCTTACAACAACTGCGCATGTCAGATTCATATACACCGCTGTTCAAATTAATTGAAACAAAAATAATTCCGTTATTATTTACTTTTGTTTTCGAAATGTTTCCAATGAAACATGACCCTGTGCACATGGCAGTACTTCGTATATCCATTTCACGAACTCTCTCTTTGCAGATTGACCACAGATTCTAGATTGGATTTAAAAAAAAGGAGAGTTTCCTCGCCAGTCTATAGTAATTTGATTTGCACACTGGTAAGGCTTGCCAGTGTGTTTGTGCAGCGTTACAATTTTCGAACGCTTCTTTGGAGTAACGTCCATCGCAGACAATGGCTGTAGGACAACTAATCGACAGTCGAGACAATAGAATTTGGGCTTGATACATATCGGATGCAATCACGGATGACGCAAGATTTCTCAAGGCCAGACAAATTTCATCATACAATCCGAAAATAGATTCATATTACTGAACACCACTGCAAATGACCTAATCTGAAGAAAAATCAAAATCGATTACAACCTATCACTCAAGTGGGTCTAAAACTAACCGTGTGGTGAAAGAAATGGAAAAAAAGCGGTTGTTTCAATTAATTTGCACAAGGGTGTACACATAGACACAGACACAGACACACACACACACATATATATATATATATATATTGATGTATGTTTCATTAAATAATATAGACAAGTTTTATCTATTTATTTTAAGTAAGTTCTTTTCATATTGTCTGATAAGCCATAACATCACCATAACATCATTGAAAGACGAAAGGAAATCACCATATTGATACATGTTTAAATCCAATATAAGCTTTCTTTTTAAATGCCTATAATTTTTAACAGAAGTCATTGGTTTATACCAATGGCTTCCCATACTTAATACTTCTAGTTTTCACTCTCGCGTGATCATGTTTGACGTCACGAGCTGCGATGAGATTTTCGCTTCCGCGTCTCGTATACACGAATTAGTCGTTGCTTTGAAATTTTTCATGCAACACAAACAGATTATCAGTATTGATTCACCCGTGTATTACCATATTGAAAAGTAATTGTCATCTTTGATAATGGCTTATGTAAGCCGAAAGCTTATATTGGATTTAAACATGTATAAATATGGTGATTTCCTTTCGTCTTTCAAGTAGACATTGAAGTCAGCACCCAGAAGCGACAGTTGGATTCATGCTAAAGGCAATCGTGCATTGTTTTTGCCCGAAAAAGACTATCGTCTCTGGGATGTTCACCTTTATATTTACATACGCTTTATCTCTGACATTGAGTACTCATGAATATAGCATAGCTTAAAACTATATTTTATCATATATATATATATATATATATTTATGCAATTCGGCCTTGACTACGTCATTTTGATATGCTGAATGCCCCAGTTATAGGCCAGGAGAAAAGAATGAATTTATTAAAAGCCAAATCGTAATAATTGTAGAAACAATATCAGAGATTTCCCGAAACGACCCACTTGTGATGTGTTTAAGTAGATTTATAGTTCATATCAATCGGCATGCATGACAGAGGGAGAAATCAACAATTGTGATTGTGCAGCCAAGACTTATCGATGTGATAAGTTAACAGAGGATTTCCTGCAAAAGACCAGAAAACAAAATGGCGACTAAAGCACACACACACACACACACACACACACACACATATATATATATATATATATATATATATATATATATATACGCAAGTAAAAGGAAGGAACGCGTCACAGCAAACAGTACGTCATCTAATGAATAAGGTGGACGTCAGAATAAAATATGGTTCCTTATCCAGTAGAACTCATAATACAAGGATGAATTCTGGGAGGTAGTCTGATAATATTGATAATGTGTCTTGTGGCAGATAAGATATTTGGTACGTACCCCCTATCTCAGTAACATTAATGGCCAGGTGCTCCATTCAGAAAAAAACTATATTTTCAGATGGTAATGGCATCTTTTAGTTGGCTTTATATCAACCAAGAAGACCTCATTGTTTTGTCATGTCCACCAAACGTCAATCAAATTGGATGTGTTGAGTCACCATGTTCATTCCACATAAACTTGTAGGAGTAAAAAGCTAACATTACCGCACCAGCTGTCAGAAGAATGATTCAGATCTTGGAGATTCCATGACTGATCAGGTAATTAGCTTTTTAGCAGGATATATGAATCACGGACAAACAGTTGGCGAAATTGTTCGATCGATCTATCTATCTATCTATCTATCTATCTATCTATCTATCTATCTATCTCAGTCTGTTCATATTTATTTATCTCTGTATGTTCATATTTATCTCAGTCTGTTCATATCTATCTATGTATGTATCTATCTATACCAGTCTGTTCATTATCTATCTATCTGCATATCTATCTATTTTAGTTTGTTAATTTCTGTATCAGTTTTTACATGCAGTTCAAATAAGATGGGTGTTCCGGGTTCATATCTCGCCATTGTTGATTTGTCTCAACTTCAAGGGAGGCGATCTTAACATACAGCAGCGTTGGAAAGTTATTAAAAACCAAATCACATTTGAAATCGGGTAGACTAAACTGAGCTTTTGCTAGGAAGAATTTTCAGATATCGCTGACCGAGAGATATCCCGCGCCGATCTTGTTCAAACTGGTGATCACACCATTATGTGCTCTCTGAGAGAAACTATAATTAAGGTCCATTCAGAATAGTATAAATCAGAGTTGGACTCTGGGGATGTTGAAGAAGCACAAAATTGCCGAAGCTGGATTCTGTAACATGGATTGGAAAGCCGCCCTTGCAGACGCGTGTGGTCGGTAACGAGTAATCAACGATTCCAGCCAGGTCGTTTTCTTTATGTGGTGTCATGCAACTTAAATCTTTGACGACTGCATTCCTAAATAATTTTAACCCTTCTGCCTGAGCTCCTGAGTCAAAATTCGCAAATAATTGGTATGTAATGTTTCACGGTAGATATAAAAATAATTACAATTGTTTATCCACCGTTCAACCGGTAACTGGGAATTAAGTCAACTTTCTCTACCATTGTTCAGCCGGTGGCTAGGCATTACGTCATTTTTCTTTACTACCCGGTAAAGCGGTGGTCAGCATTCAATTCTTGGAGAGGATATAATTCATTAATACTAACCCTGTGTGTTGTTCAGAATCCTTGAACGATCCAGTCGTTAACCCTGACCATAATTTAAGTTTCTTGACCAGTCAACCAAAGAGATGGAACCAATTCTGTGACTATTCACTTTCCCCGCTAATATCCCTTGTCTAGATATTTCTACTTGTCGTGTGGAAAGACGATCGACTTTCTCTACAATATTTGTTCAACATGAAGTTGACTTCTATTTTCACTTTTATATTTACACACGCTCTATCTCTGATATTGAGCACTTTATCCCATACATATAGCACACCTTAAAACTATATTTCTTCATATATATATATATATATATATATATATATATATATATATATATATAGTGTCCCCAAAACTTTGACATCATTTCGCAGACCAATAATTTTGACAATTCTAGTTGAAATAACCTCAGATTTTCACAGAATCTACAGAAACAGATCAAGATTTTATATTTAATGGAAGAGGACAGTACATGATTAGCTCAGAATCTGCCACTTATATGGATAGGGCGTGGTGGAGATGAAGACAGTTTTCTGATGAAATGGCCGCCGCGGTCACCGGACCTGTACCCGTGTGATTTCTTTTTATGGGAATATGTGAAGGGACTGGTCTATGTCTCCACCCTCTTCCTGCTAGCATTGATAAACTCAAGCAGAGAATCACTCCCGCACTAGATAATGTTACCGGAGACATGTTATATATTTTCATGACGGTCGTCCTCGAGTATAGAATCCAGAGGTTGGCAGGGAATATTTCGGAGACAGTAGGAAAGCGTAGTGCAGGTTCGCAGTGGATATCGCATCAAAGTAGCAGTGCGTAATTCTTCCGTCTGTCATGTTCGCCGGACAAGTTTCCTCTGGTCCTTCCGGTGAGAAAACAAAGATGGCCGCCTTTATACACGACGGATACAGTGTTGTGCCGCTTCTGATTGGTCAACCTTCTATTGGTCGACTATAAAGGGAATTAAGTCATTTTGACTCGCTCACAAGTTACATATGTTATATACCCAAAAAACCGTAACAAGACATGCTACAGCGTGTTTGGCAGGTGCTTAACTACCGACTAGACGTGTGCCGTGTCACAGGCGGTGCATATATTGGACACTTATGAAATCGGTTCCATAACAAACTTATGATGTTCAACACCTAAAAAGTTCAATTTCATTGCGTTAGACTTAGTAGTTTTCAAGATAATTGTTTTTAAAATGATGTCAGATATTTTGGGACACCCTGTATATAAATGTTTACACGCACATGATGCCAAACCGTCGAGAAATTCTTTAGAGAACACTTTTGTAGCATTTATTAAAAACTGCTACAGGACCAATATGGCGCAACAACAACTTATCAACATAATTGGTCATGACATTTTGATAGCAGTGTATGTTAGAGTCGTTGACCTGAAAAGCTTAAGGTATGATAGTGGAAGATTGAAAAAAATAAAAGCCTCTCGATATTTCAACAGTTCTAGATATCATGCTGATATAATTATCTCCAAAGTTATACGATATATAAGCAGCTGTTGTATGTTGTCAGGGCAGACCACCTACTTATTCATAGAAAGAGCAAAGTAGGCAAACAGATGACACCTCGTCGGCATAGACTAGGCCAGTGGTCCTACCAGCTGGTATATTTTATCCGGACTGCGAACAATATGGAAAATGCTATTATACTGAAATCATTCTTATGTATTGTGAGAATTTCTTCTCATTATTTAACCCCGGCAGAGACAAGAAAAGACATACAATTCAAACAAAGCCTACCTTAAAATTCAATACAAATTTTATATCGTCTTTGCAAAAAAGATTATGCCCTTTTGCGCCCCTGTGAATAGGGTGGGGTAGTTACTTCAAAGAAGTGGTAGTATTTTTCTTCTCTGTAGGACTCAACTGGTCTCTATGCAGATTCGAAGAAGCAGGAACTTGACGGTCGTCGAACAGGAGCATTACCAATTTGGTTGCTGAAATAAAAACTCGACTATTTGTCGAGAGCATGCAGAAAGGTTCTTCATGTAAAAGTACATAATGTGACGACAGTCAATAAACCGACTGAATTATTCAGCCTTAAAAAAGTCTCTAGAATATGAGACAAGAAGAATAATTGCCTAGTCATTTAGGCTTAATTTTGGGCGCTAAAGGCCCTGCAATGTGAGAGAAATGTGAGTCCTGTCATATCGAAGATTTTGCAGCAACTAAAAAAAAAAGGCACGTACAGTTGAAAATGCCAGCGAAAGGCAAAGGAAAATTCAACCAAAGAGCTTAGTCGGTACAAAAATACGGCGTGGCATAAATTAGCCAATAGGAGCTTAGCTTTAATTGCAGAATTTCTCACAGTATAAAAGAGTCTTTATTTATGTCTCTTTGAGGACATCCCGTTAAAATCTACAATTAGAAGTGATCGATCAGCTGTCCAATAAAACCATGACAGACAAATGCAAAAGAAGAATCTTTACTGAATTTTTGAAATGAAGAATATACTGTTTTAAAATCTTTGTTTCGACAATGACAACTTCTGAGAAACGATATGGAGACAAGAAGATATTTTCAAAGATGAAGTATGTTAAGCAGGGTTTCTGAAACGTTTTAATCAACGGCACACCTAAGCGCAAATGAAAATGTTATAGCACACGTAGCAAAATGTTTAAACTGTAAACATTTAAATGTTATGAAATAAAACCATAGACTTTTAAAAAACACGAACACACTAATATGAACTTACCTAATTTCAATATCTGTCTATATTTCTAAAATGAGGTATTGTAATTATTTATACTATTTACATTGCTCGAAATGTTGTCGTCATTTTCGATGACATATTCACGACGTTTCGGCCGTTGTACGCTCCGGCCTTTCTTCAAGGACACATGGCCCAGTGGATAAAAGCGTTGGTTGAATCTAGTGACTTCATATAAATGATGTTAAAATACCAAAAGAAATGATCGAACATAATTCTTTACACTTTACATTGTTCGGATTGTTGTTCTCATCTTCGTTGCTATAATCATGACGTTTCGGGCATTTTACGCTACGGCCTTCTTCAGGATCTGTCTATATTTCTGAAATGTGGTATTGTAACTATTTACATTGTTCGGATTGTTGTCCCCATCTTTGTTACCATATTCACAGTGACGAAATAAAGGGTTCAGTTCGAAATTCCATTTACCTGAAGAAAGACTGGGCGTGCAACAGCCGAAACGTCGTGAATATGACAAGGAAGAAGAAGAAGAAGAAGAAGAAGAAGAAGAAGAAGAAGAAGAAGAAGAAGAAGACAACAGTGCGAACAATGTAAATAGCGTAAGTAATTACTTTATTTCAATATTTCTATACAATTATTTGTGCAGCATATTTAGTGTCAAACCTGTGGCTGGTGATTTTTCGAGATTTTATCAATGTTTGAAAATGTTTAACATAATCGAAAATTATTCAAATAATAACGTTGTACCATTACTACTTACAGACATACACACACACATATCTCTATCTATAAAAGGCACGATGTGTGTGTGTGTAACGAATGCACGGCCGCAATTTTCGACGGATTTGCACCAAAATTTACACGCAAATGCTCCAAGTTACCGGGAAGGCCAAGACTGACTTTGCATTTCCCAACTCCCATCGACAGTGGAAATAATCGATTTTTTCATGCTTTTACGTCACTTTTCATGTAGTTTGCGGCCATTTTCTATTGGCCAGAGTGAGAGCCTATAGTTGGCTGCCACGAATAGGCAGGAAGATTCTATTGGCCAGCATGAGAGCCAACAGCTGACTGACACGAATGTTAACTAGCATGCTAGCATGCAAAAAAATCGATAGCTGCATTCGTCACAAGTGTGAAAAATTTAAATCTGCATGACACTTTACTCCAATTAGCTCATTCGCTTGCTTAAACTCAACGTTGATTCTGATTCCGCAGAACTGGGTTGGGTGTGAAAAAGTATTTGTTGTTAACATTCTTTTTTCATTCGGTTTTTCCAGTTACGAGTCCTATTTTAAAAATGATCATTTTGTGTTCATTTTGTTTAGTTCTTTTTCGTAACAGATTTAATGTTTAGTATAGGGCTTAGAAAAAAAACGCAGTGTGAGATAGGCAAGAAGTAAGGCATGTAGCAACATCAGCACGGCAAAGGGCACTCCTTTGAAGGCAAGGAAGGGCAAAAATATTTTATGTCAAGTGATAGAGATTGCTGTATGTGTCGTACGATTTTTGAATCTAGCACGGGGAATGCCGGGCCATGCTGCTAGTATATATATATATATATATAT